TCTGTTCCTCAGAAACATCCTTCATCCTTTACACATGCATATACACGGAAATAACTGACCAGTACTCAGTCATGATGCCAGACCCCCCCCTCTTCCTGGACAACACTGCTGTTGTGATATTAAACTGTCTATTTATTTGTTGCTTTTCAGTATACAGACAACTAACACTATGTAGTCATGATGTTCTGAAGCAAATTAAAAGAACAATAAAGAGTTCGCAGGGCTGAGGTGTCAAAGGGAAGCTGGGATTTAAAGGAACAAAGTAGCTGCATTATGTTTCAATATTAACACATTACTACAGTCCCTGTAAATAAATTTAACAGAGGGGATTGTTTTGTTTTTATTTTGTTTTTTTACAGGTTCAATTCTAATACTAATCCAAAGTCTATATGATGACCTCCTGTAACAACTATAATACTCAGTAAACATGTATCAGTGTTAGACTCGATGTTGAATAAAGTGTGGGCTGGTGTAATAAAAGACTGATTTAAAACATGAAATATCTGCTTACATTATCCATTAATGATGTAATCACACTCCCACTATTAGTCTGTCCTCTGGATTTCCTTATCTTAATGTTTTACTGCAAACATAAAACGTGGCTGATCCTGATACAATGCAGCTCAGCCTACTGTGATCCTGCCTCATAGACTCTGATTGGCTCTGTGAACAGTCATGAGTCAGACTGTAAATCACTTTGACTCATGACCTACTTTGAGAGGGGATGGTCTGCACCACTACAGTGGCCGGAGTCAGCTTATTTACAAGTCCTGTTTAAATGTGATAAAGTGCTGCACAACATCAAACATCGGTGATAACAAATAAGAAACTCTGAGAAGTGTTTCAGCTGTGCGCCCTGCCTCATATACACTAAAGGTGACAACGCTTCTACAAAAGAAGTGTGTCTGAATTAGAGGGAGACAGGTGGAAACAGAACATGCAAGGAGCAGAGATAGTTAAGGCAGAGGAGTTTAAATACAACCATCCAAAGAAATGGTCAGTGCACAAGAGAGGTGAAGAAGAGAGAGCAGGCAGGGTGGAGCAGGTGGAGACCCGTGTTAGGGATGATGTGTGACAGAATGATAGCAGAAAGAGTGAAAGGTTTATGAGATGAGAGTAAGATCTGCTGTGATGCTTGGTTTGGACACAGTGGCACTAACAAAAAGACAGGAGGCAAAACTAAAGACATGAAGAAGAAGAAAAACAAGAAAAGAAACACCTGTGTATCCTTGATAATAACTCCTCCACAAACCTCCTCTTTTATCTATCTTACAGATTAATTTTAGGAACTGATACATCCTTCAAGGTTGTGTACTAAGCCTGACTTCTGGTCTGGTTTTTATTTGGAAGAAGTAATGTTGAGGCTGCTGCAGCCTCTCTTGGTAAACCGTAATGGAGCTGCATGTCCGGCAACTTCATTGTATGTATTAATTTAACAATCATAATCTCTTAATCTCTGAATTTTCATTTATTTGAAAACAGTTTATGATTTTTTTTCACTTAAGTAAATGTTTAATAGTAAATGTAGTAGACCGATTCTTTGGGTTCAGTCATGTCTTCGACAACTGTGTTCACCACACTTGTTGCAAAGACGTGCAAAAGCACACCTGAAAATGTGTGTGCCAAACTGAATTTAAGACGAATCCCTCAAAAACAGCAAAGCTCTGCAGCTGCGCAGGTCATGTAGTGATAGAATGAGTACACTGGTATGTGTAAGTACATTTTCTTTGTCAGCAAGCGAGCTAAAATGTATTTAGCTGCCAAATGGAGATTATCAGTGTGATTAGATGAGTTTGTTAGGCCAGCTAGAAGCCTGCTGGACACTCCTAGGTGAGGTGTTTCAGATGTGTCCCATCAGGAGGAGCCGCCGAGTTAGAACTGTTACATCTTTTGGCTGGCTTGCGAAATGCTTTGGGAGCATCAGTCGCATCAGGAGCATGAGTAAGACCAAAGTTTCACTCGGTGCTACCTCAACACTCAGCATAACTGCTGTTACACTCGATCTGATGTGCTCGCTTTGCCTACAAATATAACAATGACAACGCTCAGATCAATGTATTTTCTAAAACTACCTTACATAAAAACCAGTAAATAGCCGAGCCTTAGTTTAGTCCAGATTAAACATACTATAAAGAACAAAATGGGACATCATTGAGAGCCCCATTTCTTCATGGGAGACTTCATTTACTCACTCATACACACATGAATCTTTTTCAGGAGGGTTCCAACCATTAAAGACAAACTGGAGCTACAATCCGTGTTGTGTACCAACTTGAAACCATTTGTGGTTGATTTTATAGATCTCACTAAAAATAGGATGTATGCTATTCAAATGCAATAGTATGCCGATTGCAGTGGAGAGTCAGATGATATAACCAAACACGACGTCAGGTATAGAAGCTATTGATGCATTTGATGCCCAGAGTGGACACCAAACATACATAAATGTAAAATTTATTTAATCCCACACCGGGAAATTCACTTGTTACAGCAGCACAACTGACAGCTAGAAAAGTGAATTGGAGATATATTATATCAGCGCATTAAAAAAAGCCAAAATCCTATAATATTTACAGATGGTTACTATATACAGTAAAATACAACATTTTTTTAATAGTGATAATTATATACATGAATTTTTAAATAGTATTATCACCTCAAACAAAGAGATGCATGCTGGGTTTAGGCTCTTTAGGTCACCAGTTACCCTGGACGTCTATGGCTCATGTGTCTTGTGATAATTACTTTGGTCCTAAAATAGAGTCACTTTGTTGGTATAAATTAAATTTAATCAAATTTTTAATGCTAGGAGGTCAGTTTCTTTATCATAATTATGCACATTCTCCTGACAATTGATCAACAACCACTGATCAAGGCCCACTGATCAAACACCACTGACCTCCCAGTCCATTGTTCCTTCTGTGGGCTGGTTTCAGTCATTGGGGAAACCTGCAGTCAGCTGAGACTGAAGGAGTCACTTGGATGAGTGATGAAATGTTTCTCCCACTGAAAACGCTGCGTCCAGACTAGCACTGAAGTGTTTGTCACACCTTCTGCAAATACCACCTTTTCCACAGAATGCTTCAATGAGTCTGGTAATGCTTGAAGCATGACGGCTTAATCTGGTTCATTTTTCAGATGTTTCTTAGTATTACTGTTTCATCTGAAAGCTGGCAGAGCCTGTTATCACGCCCCTTTGCCCACATAGTGTTTTTCCAATTTTTCAACAATAAATGACCTTTGGACTGCTCTTATGTCTATTTGCCCCCGATAGTAAAGACTTAAAAAACAGGTTTAAACCCAGGTCTATAAGGTCTGTGTGATTTTTTAAAATCATTGCTTGTTTGATTTTTTCCACTTCTCTTCAAATGACCTCAATTCAATTTAATTCAGTTTCATTTATACAGTACCAACTCAGAACAACAGTCGCCTCAAGGTGCTTTAAATTTATATTGTAAGGTAGACCCTACTATAATACATGGAGATGAAAACCCAACAATCACATGACCCCCTATGCACAAGCACTTTGGTGACAGTGGGAAGGAAAAACTCCCTTTTAACAGGAAGAAACCTGCGGCAGAACCAGGCTCAGGGAGGGGCGATCTGCCGTGACCAGTTGGGGTGAGAGAAGGAAGACAGGATAAAAGACATGCTGTGGAACAGAGCCAGAGATGAGAGAGGTGACTGAAGAAGACATACTCAGTGCATCATGGGAGTCCCCCAGCAGCCTACACCTATTGCAGCATAACTAAAGGAGGATTCAGGGTCACGAGGTCCAGCCCTGACTATACGCTTTAGCAAAAAGAAAAGTTTTAAGCCTAATCTTAAAGGTAGAGATAATGTCTGTCTCCCAAATCCAAACTGGAAGCTGGTTCCATAGAAGAGGGGCCTGAAAACTGAAGGCTCTGCCTCCCATTCTACTTTTAAATACTCTAGGAACAACAA